ATCCACAAATTGGGATAATTTAGTGATAAAGAAGAATTTGGGTTACAAAGCATAGGCCAACTGAATAAGAACATGTCTCAACATAATACAACAGCTGGACTAGTTTACGGAGATTAAGTACTCAATCCATATCAGTTTCTGGACTTACAGAACTGTTACAGAACGATGTTTCAATAATTACGGAACACGTATGACAATAATATTAGGTTCGAATCTTGTCGAGGGCAGGGATGAATGTTCCAGCACTTTCAAGCCTAGTCCTCACGCGTCAGGAGGTGGGTCTCAGGCATGAGAACACATAAACACTTAGCAATTGAAATTCGAAAAGAGTTAGACAGAAAAGCCCTTACCCGATACCCCCCCCCCCACTTTCTTTGCATTGCAAGCGTTAACATAAAAAAAAATAAGTTTATTTAGTATTTTAAACTCGAGATGAAAGGGGGGGGGGGGGGGGGAGAAGAAAAAACCTCTTACACAAATTATAAATCAACACGTAGACATAATAACATTGAAGATCAGTAAACAACATGTGGTTATCAAACATTTAGCAAAATTACGTTGCTATAGTATTCTATTACTCCAAATAGTATAAAAAATTCAAAATAATATATTCTGATGAAGCTTATTTTTACTTCAAAAATAACCAAAGAGTCTAAAAATAAATCTAGTTTTTGTATCAAAGATTGAGCCAAAAAGAAAAACATTTATGTTTTTAAATTAATGTGAGATTACACTGTAAAAAATCAGATTCTATAGCGAGAAAAGAAGATAGAACACTTTTCCTTGCTGGATGAAACCATAGATACGTCAGTCCATGTACATTAATACTAAAACAACGATATTAAATTGATAAAACTGAAGTATTATGACTGGTTTACGGTGATGCAATAACATGACCAGTTGGACTAGTCCCGTTATAAATATGGTTGACGTGCTGCAAGGAAGTGAAATTAGCTATTCTGGGTTACCTCCCCGTAGAATTGCACATTCCATAATTCATGATGGTTGGTTATTATTGAGTGATGATATGGAACGGATTTTCTTTATATAAAATATTCAAGTACTTTACAGCTTATTTCATTAGATCCCAATGAAAGCATTAATTTAATATCTGAGATGTTGCACATCAAGGTAGATATACTTCCTGTTCGAGTAAATGGTTATTTCAGAGTGCATTGGGAAAACCAAGTGCGCTTAATCACGAGTCTGTGGACTGGGTTATTTTACCCATCCTCTCTCGATCGTCCGACTCTGCCGGTTTTATGGGACAAGCAATCCTCTTTTTTTATATATATCGGCATTGATCATTAATTTAATTAAATGAAATGAAATGGGGTTTAACGTCCCACTGTTCTGCACCGACTGAGATAATGGCGACTGGCATATTACATACAGTGTGCTATAAGGGACATTTTGCCTAGACAGCGGCACTGCGGCCTACTCTTATTTCCAATTCCGACTGCCAGGGGTTCTTTTCAGGGCACATGAATGTGTCCTCAGGGCCTCTGTTTTTTGTCCAATTAGACACTGTTCCTTGTCAGGCCCCTTCGTCAAGTACCACTGACAAGGGGAAATCTCGAGGAAATTTCTTGCCAAACACCGGGAGCGAACCGGGACCTCCTGATTAGCGTCACCGACAAATTCTCACGTATTATCTGTGGTGAATTTACACGGCCCGACAGATTGTATCCGATGTTGCGTCGGTTATATCCGCCCTATTTGCAAAGTATCGGGATTGTTAAATCTTTTCTTATGAATATTGAATGTTTAAGTCTTTGATGGAGACCTCCATATAAACCAATTCACTGTATTGCTGAACTGGTAATTTTTTGTGCACAACATACCATTGCCGACAAATCCTCGGTGATGAGAAATCTGTAACGGGAAGTCACTTTTTAGCGACAGGTTGTCCACGCCGACAAATAATTATTTGTTTGAGCAGGCCTTTACGATAATTTGAAAACGTTTAAATTTGTCCGTGTCAACAAAATCAGAGCATTCACTCACTACCAGAGCAAATTAATTTGAAATATACCATGTGCAAACAATATGCGAACATGTAGGTGTTACTGGCCCATCCAATGGGCTGAAACAATTTCATTTAAACAAACCTCCACGAGAACTGCCTAAGCAGCATTCCTATCTTTTTTTGGGAGATACATACAGCAATTTATGAAAATAATTTGAAAAATATAAAAAAATTGTCCCGTTAAAAATTCCCCCACAGGCCAATCAAAATAATGTGGTATAGGAGAAGAGGCTTATAAAATGTGCGAATTTGTGTAAATTTCTGTCTACCCACCCCCAAAAGTTAGTAGTTTATATTTGATTGTTATTTCTTTAATTCTACATGTAAATCAAATTTAAAATACAATGTAAAATGTAAAATCAAATTTCCCATACTAAATAATGTTCTGTCATTTGTACTAATTTTGGTTTAATGCATTGCCTTTCCAGAATGCTATGCACGTATAATTGTCATTAATAACCCCATATTGATCTGATTTCACTTTGAAAGCAGGAAGACTCTCAAATTAATCTTTTTTTGTTTTTAAAAATCGTAAACCAATGTGTTCTAATGGATCATCCCACCCCCTTACACTATTCCAATGTTGTTTGGGTTTTTTTGATTACTTTTTCGAAATCAGATTTCAAATATTTAACTTTCAAAGACCTCTCTGCTGCTCTTCAAAGAAAATTCCATAAATAAGATGTTACTTAAACGCGCAATGAAAAACATTTTGTATTGTTTTTTGCTTAGAAAATAAATATGAAATTCAAAACAGCATCAACATATTTAATATGATATATTAAATTAAAGATGCATTACATAAGGTTTTAATCTGCCTATTGCTGATCTTTCGCTTGGTCCCAAATGTTATGTAAATCATTAATTAGACATTTATTGACATGCCCAGCCTATAATCAACCAACTAGAACATTGGATGGTTGTGATTTTTAACGGATTTAAACACGATCGCCAGTTAATAATTTAATTAAAAACATGGATAATCAAGACTTTGTTTATTGTTTCAAAATATATCATTTTATAACTATTGTAGCGAGAACCATTGAAATAATAAATTATTTTCAACTGCCAAATAAGAAATATTATTGTATTTAGACCAACGATATAATAAAACATATTGTTTCCACGTCCAATTATAATGTATAGAAATATATCCGACTAGAATATCAAAAATGTATATAATCCTGCTTTGGGATTCGATTCTCGTTTATATTAATAAAAAAGATTTATGATAAGCTCTAATAGTTTTAATGTAACTTAAATTCTATAAAAATTTTAATAAAAACGCCAACGCACACAGATGCATTGTTAATTTTATATTTATAGCTTTTGTATCAAGCACATTTATATTACTTTTCTAATCGTAAATAGTTTCGCCTTGGTGCAAGACGTCGGAATTTTCCGACATGGTTTCCCTTGTCAGTGGTGCAGGGAGGAGTGCCTGACAAGGACAGCAGAGCTGTCTAGTCGTTGGAATGGGACGAAAAGCCGAGGTCCCGTGTATACATTGGCTTACATGTAAAAGACCTCTTGGCAGTTAGAATTCGATATAAGAGTAGGCCATTGTGCCGCTGCCCGGGCAAGATTTCCCTCATAGCACACTGAATGGCGTTTGTCCGTCTTCATTAGCCCAGTCGGAGCAGAACATTAGGACGTTAAACCCCATTTCATTTCATTTCATGGTGCAGGACGGAGGGAAGGGCAGTTTCTAGTCGTTTGGATGGTAATAACCCCTTGCTCTTGTAATCTATATAAATAAAATCAAAGTGTGAGTGTGGGTGGGTGGGTGTGTGTGTGTGTGTGTGTAAACATACATTTCAAGTTTCACCAAAATCGGATAAAAATGGTGACCTGTAGGAGTCCACAACCTTGTTAATTACATACTTTTACACTATTTGCGTACAGGGAGCGGCCATTTTGTCGAGCAGTTTCGGTCCGATTTTCACAAAATTCGAAGTCAACCGTCATTCTGTTGTAATGTTGATCCATTTAAACGTTGTTTTTTTTTAAATCGGATAAAAATTGAGCCCTCTTTTGCGGGACCACACGATAAAAACATGATCTTTCGTACAAAGTTTCGTCAAATTCGGATAAAAATTGTGACCTGTAGAGTGTCCACAAACAAATTGTGGACGGACAGGGGTGACGACAATATACGTTCACATGAAAATGTGGGCGTATAAGAATGCCCAATGGCACCGATGATCAGACGAGGTAGAATCGAAGATGACACGATTTGACAAGATGCCCTCACGATGGCCTTATGCAGGACAAAATGGACACACGAAAACCGAAAATGAACCTTCGCAAGTTTTCGTCAGCGCTCAAGAAGTTGCTGGCGGGGCCTGAGAAAATCCACAGGAGGTCATACGATAGCTTAAGATGCCCTCCCGAATGGTCCGATGTTTTTACGATCAAAGCCGAATTTGAACATTTACTCTATCGTGTGTCCATCTGGTGTCAATTTCGGGACAGTGTGGCACCTGCTTACGGACGTGCTGGTCGCTCCAACCTTAGCCAACTTCTTACGTTATAGAAATATTAAATGAAATATTGAAAGTGAATCCAAAATCACAACATTAATAGCTTGGTGTATATGGTCTTCGGTTAGCCGTTGTAAGGTGTACACTGCCCTTAGCCATTATTTACAATTTAAGATAATATTTAGAAACCGAATAAAGAATTGGATAAAAGTATTGGACTCACTTCATTTAATGTATTATACCAAATAAAACAAGGTATTACACACCTGGTTTTAATACTTTGCAGGTAACAATAGTGATTGATTTCGGAGTTTGCGGCCGACTGGAACAAGGCAGAACCAAATACAAGTATTTGATTCACAGTGAACAGCCGGGCCCTTTCTGTTGATTTATTGGGAAATTGACTAAAGTCGAACTTCATATAAAATACCGTAGTTTGACTAGATATTATAAACTAAATATCCCGGTAATAAAAAATAATTTCATACCTTTTCTTTATGTATATAAAAGACAGATAAAGTCCATTCACTGACCACCTGGTATCCTCAAATCGTTATTTCATCAATGATTCTTTACCATCAACTGAATACTTCTCGCCAGTCTACTATCGCAGTAGTCTCAATAACTGGCACTGAAGTCAACAAAGGCGTACCGTCGAGGTTTGATTCTCATTTCAATCTAACTCGTTAACTAGGAGTTGTATTCTGACATACCTTACGGTTTATGTGTATGCCTGGTCACAGCTCTCGCACCTAATAATCATTTGTACATTCACATACTATTTGTTTTATATTTAGTAGTCTCATACTTGCCTGGTCGTAAAATCGGGAATTCATGCACACGAGGAATGACCTTTGACCGAAATCGATGATAAAACTATAGAATATACATGGGTTACTGTAGATTCTTTTTTTTTGTTGGATCTCTTGTATTTAAAGTGTCAACCTCCGTATGTGCAGTTTCAGATGTGAACTAACATCTAATGATGTATTTCAAGCGTCCCAGGGAGGCGTAGTGGTTCAGTGAGTAAGGCGGTAGCTTTGTAACCCGGGGTTCCTTCATCGGGATTTTGAAATATGTGAATAGATTGAATGAATCTAGTATGTTTTAGACCGTTCAAGTAAAGAATAAAATAATCTTTAGTGTAAAATCATTATGTAAATTCATTTTTGCTACTTTAGAAAACCTAGAAAATATTCTAAATTAAAAGTATATTTGTGGTCTTTGCCTTGATTTAAAAAATACAAGCATCATTGGACTAGGAAACGAACATGACTTAATGCACAGGAATCTGACCTTCTAATCGTATATAATATGCATACACCATACCGAACTAGACAATATATAATAAAAAAAAAGAACAGGAATGCAATGCCTGTTGAAGCCTTGATTTTACCTGCTCTCGCTTCGGCTCGTTTTCTTTTTTTCAACAATTCGTAATGTCAGACAATCAAACCTCTGTCGATTCACTCAGATATGTTTTTTTCTTCAATCTAGCCGTTTGATTTTCCATAAATACTCCCCACAAAACGATATCATAGCCACTTGTTTCCAATATTTACATTATTTTCGTTCGTTGACGTTTGTCATTGAATCCATGCGCTGACGTCCCACAAAAACCTAACCAAACTCTGAAGTCCCGTATACTTCCGCCTCAAGATCATGAATATTCACCAAAACCTAGCAGAAAATGTATATTCAAACCCTCTTCTTCGATTCTACAACCAAAAGTCAACAAAAATCGCCATGCGAAAGGGGGAAAATGGAAAGGGAGAGAAAAACTAAAAATATCTTTGGCCCTTGTTTCAATGGTCTAGTCACTGCGGATTGATTTTGTGTGACGTCAGCGCATGGATTCAATTCAATGTATTGATTAATACAAGCACCCCAAATTTTATGTTTATGGTCCTCGAATGGGCAGAGCCTTGGGCTTTTATCTTAGAAGGGCGTCTTCCGAAGAACAAGAAGAAAAATATATAGAAGATTACCAAGTGTGTGCAACGAGTTTCTGGTGAAAACAGATTACAGGGTGCTTATTGCTTGCTGTGTAAGTTACGCATTTTTAGATTGTCTGCAAACCCAATTACGCGTACAGTTATCGCCCCTGCCACTAAAACCTCGGCGCGGTTGTTTTTGGTTATGTTTCAGACTTGCTTGGATTGGTCGACTAGTCATCGTTATGATTGTAAATCTCGTTTGAGAGACACACTCTACTCTTGCAATTATGTATGTAACAACGTAATATCACCAAGATAACACGATTACCGATCGTTTCCAACAAATAGGGTCCACAAGAGACCAGTCCAGGCTTGAACGACAACGCCTCGACAAGGCTGGTACATTATTCGGATCACATGCCGACAGCTTACCGTTTATATTGATCATACTGTGAAGGGTCTACATGGTGAGGGATCCACATGCGTTCATCAGTGCGGGCACTGTGTCGGACTTAGGTTTGACAAATTCCGACTCCATGCATTTACTGATTTAGATGTTCACCCCTTGTGCCTACACCTTACTGTAAAGTATTCTTTATATAGCTTCCATGAAATCCAACCGGAAATTTATCTAAAATTGTAAAATTGATATATTTCTTATTAAATTGTTAGATAATCATTTTGAGTATATTTTAGCATTGGATTTAGACTGGACAAGTTTGGCATTGTAAGAACAATGCACATAAGGATCATAGCATACTTTTTTCACCCCCACCCTTTATATCGCCTATTACCTATTATACTTTACCTGAATGCTAACCCTCGTTCATTGCACATGTAATAAATGTAGTACTGGTGGAGAGCTTTTGAAATCCAGCCACATCGTTAAGCACGCAGCTCTAATTTAGATTATGACATATTTATTGGCCCACTGTGGTTTTGTCCGTTTAATATACAGACAGTAATTAGTGCTGGGTAAAGATGGTTGATTCCCAGTGTAGAATCTAACAAGGCCAACATGTTTTATAGTTATAATTACTGTAATCTAATAGTGTTATGATCTTATCTTACCAATCTACTGTCTTAATTAAAGAATATAGAATGTTCACTGTAGGTTCAAGAAATCTGTAAAATTAAATTAATTGGATAATGGAAACGAAACGATGATTAAATATGTCGTCTAGATAGAGAAAATCCATCATGTAATTAGAAGCCTGTTCGATTTTAAATATCCGTATCTATCTTTTCATTGTGCAATATTGTTTTTTATTCAATAGTTTATCAAATTATTTGTATAGTTTGCATTGAGCGTCGGCCAATAAATTCTTTGCAAACTTGTTAGTGTATTAGAATACTTATAGATGTATATATTATGTAAGATTTAGATAAAGAGCTTGTCGTTCGTGCTATAATAGTTCCAAAAAAGATAATGAACAATGAAAATGTTGAATATCCCAGTCAAATAGCACTATTCTGGGCGACTGCTCAACAATTTAGAGTGTAATAAACGAAGTCTCGATTTTCAGCTCTTCAATCGGAAGTTTCCGTTTAAAAGTTTAACAAAGGCATGGCGGCCATTGTCTAATCCATTCAATGTCTTTGACATCCGATGGTCCAGAGAGTTAATTATGGGCTTGTCGTGTTAATAAATATCTAAACAACGATTTACATAACATTTGAAGCCAGAAAATATACCTGCAAAATGCATCTATAAGTTCTCCATTGTTGAAATACTACATGTTCAGTTATACACGATAGAAACACACAAAACTTTGACGGATCTGTGAACTAATCAAATAAATGAGACAAGGCATCCCATATTTAGCCTAAGCGAAATACATGAGAAGTCAAAATTCAATGACTATAGTAGTAGTAACAGTAGTAGTAGTAGAAGTGGTAGTCAATTGCACTTCTAACGTCTGCTTCAACAATACTGATATAGCAGGTAATCAAATGGGAGTCGTTTGCGCCTGTTTTATAGTCTACAAGTTCATCTTTTAGTCGCTTATGGATCAGCCATTTTTAATTACCGCATTGGCTATGTCTTGCTTTGTAATTTGTGCACCAAGCCGTCTCATTGCAAATGGTGCTCGAGACCATATAGAGCTCAGCGTTGGGGACTGATTTTAAAATGTCCATTGTGTACTAAATATTGGATATCAGTAGCCCCTATTTTCACAGTATTAAATTATATTTGGTGTTTTTAATTTCGAAGATTATGGACACTAGTGAGTTAGACGTTTGGTTTGTTTAAGTGCAAAAATATATAAGTTTGATGACAACATGATGATCACTTTATAGATCGCTTAAGGGAGCTAAGTCGCTAATATTTGGTATCTAGAAATTGACACAAATGCGTCACAACGCATATAATAATGTAATATGAATGTATATAAACTGATTTACATTCAATTATTTCTGTTTTTACTGTAATTTCATATCAGTTAAGGTCGGCGAAATACGCCAGAAATCTCAATCGAATGGCTATTTCCAGAGTCTGGTTATACCAGTCTACACCGAAATTATTTATTGCGCATGCTCTCAAGATAAAAATATAGCGTCATCGTTTGAAATGACTTATGGGATATGTCTAGCCTTGTTCTTCGAGCCCCTTGTTGAAAATGACGCTGAAAAGCGTTATGGTACACGATTCGTGTACCAATGGTAAAATGTTTATTTTGTCTTACATATTGACTATCAGAAGCCCACCTTTTTCCGGTAAGATCACAACATCAATGTTGATTTAAATAGACAAATAACTTGTGTCTTCAATGTCGAAGAATTTGGGTGATATTGAGTTAGGGACTTAGCTACTTTAAATAAAAAAAAAGTCCCTTTTGAATATGGTGCCATTTATTTTTTAATCAACTAGAGAGATTCGATAACTGTCACTGGGAAGTTTACAGCTCGCGCCGCACTTTTCTTTTTTTCAGCATTTTTATCTCAGTCAATGTTGCCCTCTTTTTAACATATCTAATCTTCGTACATTTTGTTGATAGCAACATGGCAATGCAGCTCTCGACAAATCGCCAACAGCTTCTTAGAATGACGCGGTATTTAATCAAAGGGGTCATTCATTCACCCAGCTGTCTAATGCTTCGCCATTTCAATTGACGAATTAACTTTTAAGAACACGTCTTTTGCTTGAGACAATAATCACTATTTACAGAAAGTTCTTCCCCTGCTTATAAAACCAAATTGTATGCCATCAATATTCTCATAGTACTAGTATAGTCTGTATACCAGAAAGACAATAATAGACCTATCTCTTTATTGAAAAAAAAAACACTCTCCAACTTAAACGATTGTGGATTTTTTTTCTCGAGTTTTCAGGCTTCCCGCAACTGCTAAGGACCTCTACGCAAAAGTGAATTATTGCCACATGTTAAAAGTTCCGAAATGACTTCATCCTAAATTCCCCTTTAAAAACCTATCTAAGCCTTACAATATGTCTTAATGAAAATGAGATGTACAGATGGTAATATCCATACATCCAGGTAACAGTTTATTCGCATTGTGTCAGTATTCTAGACGCTATAGCTGATCATTTATTTAACAGCACAATACCAGCAGACTAATATAACAGATTTCTTTTATTTGATTTGACGTCAAAATAAAATTTTATTTGGTGGCTATTATTATGAATACCATATGCATTTTAACATGGTGAAAGTAATTGGAATAATCTCAGGAACATTGTTTATATGATGTAATCTTTTATAGGAAATTT